AGTGTGGATCGTCGGCGCCCCCCGCCGATCTTCGTCGTTGATCACCGCCGACCGTCGTCGACCACTACTGACTACCAATGACTGTCGCCGACCTCCGAAGACCACCGCCACCATCGACCGTCATCGACCTCTGCTAACTGTCATCGATCACCACTAACCACCATCGATCACCATCAATTAAAAGCCGTCAGTTGACGTTGTAATATGAAAAATATATTTACATTTTTTGTTCTGTGGGACAAATGATTTCTGTAATCAGCAATCAATAGTGAATTTCCGCAACTAGGCCTTACCCCGTGGTTTTTGTCCTTACGGGTTTTTCACGTAAAAACTTATTGGGTCATCACCGCTTGTTTCTCTTTCATCTCTGTGTGCTAAACTTTCATATAATGTTAAGACCATAGTCCGTTACTCTACCTCTGCGAATTTGCTAGCACGCATCAATACTAAATTATAATAAATATTGATAATAAAAAATATATATTACCAATAAATAAATAATTAAACTAATTTTAAAATCAAGAAAATCGGCTAATTATTCCAAATGTTGCATCATGATAGCTTCCATTGTGTTTATTATAGCTTATTCATTGTTGCTAGCTAGTAGTCTCTCTATGGTGCTGCCGCCAGCTACCAATAGTTTTCATATATGTATTTAAATCAATAAAATCGGCTATAATCGAACCGAGCCAAGCCGAAAAGCCTCGGCTACATTATAAGCTATTGATATTCGGATCAAGCTCTAGCCAAGTTTTCATGTATGTATTCATACTTAGTTTGATTAAAATTTTTAAATTAAAATTTTTAAAAATTATTTTGGTTTTATTAGTTGCATGAGTACTTCAATGAATTAATAAACAAGCTAAAATTTGAATAAATATTTTGGCTTTTTATATAGAATCATTATCAAATAATTTTATAAATTTAAATAAATAAGCAATTGAATAAATTCTAAACCATTATCTAATCAGTTTGCATCCATTAAATAAGATAATAAAAAGTCTTAATTAAACTTTTTTTTATAATGAAATAATACTAATAAGCACTAACAAACTATTTCATTAACATAAAAGAAGAAAGAATAATTAGTATTAAACTATAATGATTATTAATATTAAACAATTATATACTACTATTAAGTATATAATTAAACTAGTTTTAATTAATATTATTTTATTTAAAAAATATAACATATATGATACATGCGATCATCGAATTTACTATAGAGCATTTAGTAAGTTAAATGTAAAAAAATAAATTTGTTTGTTAGTGAACATAAATTAATGATTTGGATTGTGCTAAGATTGGTTAATTTAACCTTCATGCTTTTAAAAAGGTTCGAACTTATTTATTTATTAATTTGAACAAATTTGAACGAGTATTAATTAAGCTGAGTTGGAATTATTCAACGTGTGCATCAATTCATTTATAGCCCTAGCCATTAACTTTTTCTTTTTGGATAATTGAGTTCATTATAATAGGTTATAAGTTTAAAGGATTTTTTTTTCTATTTTTTTTTCTTGAGAATTATCCTCTTGATGGAGCAACTTAGGAATATCACAAGCAAATTGTTCACAAAATTTCTCCTAAATGTTTTCTCTCACTAAATCTTTCTTTTCTGAGCTGATTATTAAGTCTGACATCAACACAAAACTCCAGACCAATTTTGAAACATATATTTATAGGATTGTTGTATTTAAATATTTCATATAGAATATCACCTGTATGGGTGTTCCGAAGGCTTCTCTTTATCTTTTCTACAAACAGATTCAGTAATCCTTCGATAAATTTTTGTTTTCCAATATACTGAATTAGCATCCCATAACATCATCACTATGACTAAGATTGTATCTTCGTACCATCTAAAGTGAGCGAATGAGGGACAAAATATCTTTCTTTTAGGGTGTTTTGAAGTATTAAAGTTATGAGAGTGAATATTGCTTCCTCATTAGGTTTCCAAAGATCTTCTAAATTTTTCTTTCTTAAAATATCTTCCTTTTTTACTATCTATATTATTTCTTTTTTTATGTGCAATTTTTTTTTGTCCAAGATGCTTCACGAAATGGCTTGTGAAGTAAATACTTTATTTACCTTGTTTGATTTATATTACTTTATTTATTTTTTTTTATTTTCGGAAGAAATTAAAAAGCTTTTTGTTTGGTAGTCAACTATATATTATTTAATGTTTATGGTAGGCCAAAAAAAAAAAAAATGATCCGGATTGGATAGCCGGCATGCTAAATTATAGCAATATCATTTTCATCTTGGAGCATTTAAGTACATATCACCTAATTTTTTATATGTTTATATATCTAACATCTAAACTTTAATTTCCTTTTTTTTACATCTACAACAACCAAATATTTCACATCATATAAAAAATTAGGGGTGATATTATTTAGATCCCTTGCATATTCAGAACGGACTGGAGTGACGACCCCATTAAAGTCATAGATGCCCGAAGACTATATCATGAGCACTTAGATGATGGTTAAGACACTTTTGTTAGATGGTGTGTTAGGCTAGGATTATGGTGCTTGGTAGTCCTTTTCGATGTCTGACTATTGTTCTTTGTTGGTTTTGTTGCGCTGGTCAGGCATCACTTTGCTTGTGTTTTTGTGTGTTTACTGAGTGTGGACATGCACAATAGTATATTAAGAGCGATTTTCTTGTAGGGAGCCGTGCCTAAATATACACACATGGTTAATAAGGGAGGAGCAAAGTCATGAATTATACTAACTTTTTCTTGTATGTGCTGCTATAAGCTCCTCCGTCAGACATGGCTCATATGCGTTGCATGAGATAACCCGCGCTAATATTTTTTTACAGGTTGAGTCATTTATTTTTCATTCATCATGAATTTGATAGAGTCCATGATCGAGTAAATAGCAGAAATATGGTATGGGCATGGATTTCGAGGCAGATGATGCATTGAATTACGTGACGGAGACCAGAAGCATCAGCTCGTGTCCCGTACTTTAATTTTGAATTTATACTCTTCTATAGAATTAGGACCAAACATGTTTATGCGGAGTCCGACCACTTTTAATGTTTTCCTTGGAGATGTTGACGACCTAGCGTTTCCGGCATGTTCTTACATTTTGCTTGGTTTGCCTTGATTTTTTTTTAGTTTCGTGATTGTTTTATTTTTAATGTTTCTTTCTGTTTGTTATTTGTTTGGGATTGATCACAAAAAATAATCTAGACTCATTAAGGGCCCTAATAGTCTAAATTTTCTACAAAATTTTAATAATTAAAGATTAAGATTAAGGATTAAAATAATTTAGATTTTTCAAAACTCGTACGTTACTTTTCTACATGTTCTTGTGACCGATTTTAAAATGGGCATCATGCATGGACATATCCCTCATTCATGCCAAAGGATTGTGGTAGACAATTGCACCATATGCATAAAATCGAGGAGAAGTCCCCGAATTCTCCATACCTGACTTGTCAAAGCATAAATTTTTACCCAGGAGACTGCATGGTACAACTAGGGTGTTAGAGGCATCCCAGACCCAGAAGGAGAATAAGTCCATTGTGCAGAGCATTTTCCAACTTTATAATTGAACTTCCTTTTCTCTTATTTCCAGTGCCAGCTCTATTATTTTTCTTGGCAAGCATAAGCCCCATCCCTTTGAGCTC